GTAGTAGAGCAAATTTGATTTAATATATCGTTTTGAGTGATACAATGTATTTTTTTCCGCTATGACAGCTTATAAATATTATTTTATTAATATCTTTATTATGACAACTTTAATGGAAATCAGTGCAATTCAGAAATTTAAAGACCTTGAGGAACCCCCAAATAATAAAATCGGTCAAGCAACTTTTGCTACTTTTTTTTATTAACACTTACGCATATTTTAACAACTATGTAACACTACCTGGAGAAAAAAAGTTTTTTCGTTGAAACCTAATAAATGCCCTAAATATTTGTTTGCCCTATAACTTTATAAGCTTTTATATGAAACGGATCTGCATAGTCAACGCCACACAATTCCAAAGATTTACGTTGATTTAATGCAAGTTGCCTGTAAATTTACAATTATCTGTCTAAATGATGTTATAGGATGTAGCGGTTTTGCCCGAAAATACGTAACGCACTTGCGTAGTATATCCCGAACCATGCTCCGACCCAATATAGGCTGTCAATCGTACCATATTCAATAATAATAAAACACTGAAAACTTTGTTTTCAAACTTCCACAAAATAAATTTTGTGGAAGTCTGAAAACAAAGTTTTCATTGTTTTATTGTTACATAAAATGAATTTCCATCAAGTAGCGGTCGAATCCATCAATTATATTCAATAACGTTTCTGTTTTCTTCCTCCCACCCTTATTATACCCGAATTATCCAAAAATAGATTTAAGCAGATTATTTTGTTTAAATTTAAAACCTTTTGATTTTTTCAAAGCTTGCCTGTCATAAAATTCTGCGATAAAATTATTAGTCAGCTTAAAGCTGTTTCTTGTCTGCTATTTGAGAGAGATTTACTTGTTTTTTTATTATTATTATTAACAATCTTTTGTTCTCATTTTAATTTAAAATTTTTGTTAATTCTTAACACCCAACTTATTATATGGTTTAATCGTTTAAGACCAGAATAGTTTTCAAATATTTCCTGTAGCACAATTAAAGAAAATACCAATTTACGCTTCTACATTCTGGCAGCTCCTCCAATGTAACACTTAATTCGGTTTCAGATGTTTCAGATAACATTTCTTCGTGCAGCCTTTACAAACCTAGGACCATCCTGCCACAATCTAATTTCTTCGAATTCGAATAATAATAATCTTCGAATTTTTCTGGATCCATCTGGAAACATCCGCTGGATTTATTTCTAATATGACGTTTCCCCTAGACCCCTAGAATTTGGATCCATTAACCGCTAAATCTCCCCACTAGCTTTAAAAGTTTTCACAGTAGCATGCCAATGCTATCGTGGAATCCGTCTAAAATCTTACTTTGGTAAACTTAATATTTAATTACCGATTCAGTTAATATTCGTCCTATTAGAGCAGCATACAACACAGACAAAGACTTTGAGCAAACTAAATTTACATGATGCGTACCAAATTTACATGATACGTTAGTGTTTTGAATAAAACTTAGAGGATGCTGCCACACGACGGTTAGTGGGGCAAGTGCATCCCATAAATCAACCCTATTGTAGGACGCCTTTGAATGGCGACAATCTTAATGGCCACAGTAATATGATACTTTTCAAAAATTACAAAAGAAGTCAAATTATTTGAACTTAAAAACAGACTAAATGTGCTAGCCAGTTTAACAATGGGATTTTACTGAATAACAGAAAACAATGTATTTTAAAGCAAATAAGTAAGAGTATAGATTATTAAATAAGATCACATTATAGTACAGTAAAAGAAAAATATTTAATGTAAAATATGAAAACATACTTTCCCAAACAGTTAGCATCTGTTGATCTTACGTAATCAACCGCACCATAAGCTATCTCGGAAGAATTCGTCAAGCTATGAAGTTGAACATCCTTTGTGTTTCCTCAACAAACTCTTGGACTTATTTTTAGTTTTTCTAGAGCTGTCATTTCATTTCTCCAGTTACTATAAGATAGGTGAAGTTCCTGCGGTAATGATTCATCCCGTTCCAATTTTGTCTGCTATAAAGCTTGTATTACCAATTTTGTCCTTATTACCACTGCACTAACTAGGCCTAATGGATGGAATATTTGAGCTTTAGCTGATAGAATATCGCTGTTGCTCACCTTATTTTTTCTTGTATCAATGGTAATACTAAATTGCAAGAAATATTCTTTTGAATTCCATAACAAGAATATAAAGTCATCATATAAAATATAAAGCACCTACAAACCTTTTTAAAAACAAAAATAGAGGTATTTTTTTTGTATTTTTAACATAATTCTTTTGTTTTTCTCTTCATTCCCAACCTACAGGGTGTTTTTGGTATGAAACGCCTCAATCCTGGAAACGGCTTGCACGCTCTTTGTATATTTTGGTATGTAATAAAGAGTCTTTTGATTAAAACAGAAGAAAAATATAGTTCCACCGCCCGAAAAGAGGGTAATTGTCTTTTTTGCGAAATTTCAAAAACTGAATGATCTAAATAATTGCAGTGCAATTGAAGGACATTTTTGCAGTGCAAAAACTAAACGGAATGTTTATCGTTATTCTTTTCTCAGGTTTTTACAGATAAACCTAACGATCATCATCATCATCAACTAGCCTCTAACGTCCACTGCTGAACATAGGCCTCTCGCATGCTTTTCCACTTAGTCCGATTTTGCGCCATCTGAATCCAATTTGTAGTCACTCTTTTTATGTCATCTGTCCATCTCGTTGAGGGTCGACCTCTATTTCTGTAAGCTTGTATTCGGGGTCTCCATTCCAAAATTCTTTTTGTCCACCGGTCATCAACTGATCTTACTACATGACCTGCCCAGTTCCACTTTAGTGTTGTTATCCTTTCAATAACGTTTGATACTCCTGATCTTTTGCGTATAGTAGCATTGGGTATTCTATCACGTACAGAAATCCCTAACATAATTCTCTCCATTGCACTTTCGCAACTTGTAGTTTACTCACTGTTGTTCTTATGAGCGTTAGGGTTTTTGCGCCGTAGGTCATCACTGGCAAAATACATTAAATAAATACTTTTCTTTTCAGACACATTGGAATAATAGACCTTAAAATATCCTTCATCCTTCCAAATGCAGCCCAAGCGAGGTTTATTCTTCTTTTCAGCTCGATTGTTTGATTGTCTCGACTTATTCTGATCTCATGGTCCAAGTATTTATAGGAGTCAACTGGCTCAATATCTTTGTCTTCTACTGAGATGTTTTTGTTGTGGACTAAATTTGTCATAAATTGTGTTTTTGAAAACTTTATTTTAAGACCAACTCTTTTTGTGGCAGTATAGAGTTCTTGGAGCATTATCTGTGCCTGATCAAATCTGTCTGCAATAAGAACGATATCATCTGCAAACTTAAGGTTATTTAAAAATTTTCCATCTACATTGATGCCCTTTTCGTTCCAATCTATTTTTTTACAAGCGTATTCTAGCAAAGTTGTAAATAATTTAGGAGACATGTCTCCTTGCCGAACGCCTCTTTCAATACGAAAAGTCTCAGTATCTTCATTAAGTCTTACACAGGCTATAGCATGTTGATAGATGTATCTGATGAGAGATATGTATCGGTGATCTATTCTACATTGTGTTAGAGCTTGGAGCATTTCACTTTTATTGACCGTATCAAATGCTTTTATCCTTCCTACCCTATTTTGGATAAAGACACCATTCGGGCAACTAGTGTTAACAATCTTTAAAAATAAACTTGATAGCGCTTTATTTTATGTATAGGATTGTGTTTTTGTTTTCGGACAGCACTATTTATTTATTTATTATCTTACAATTCAATTTTTGTACGATATACTTAATTTTTTAACTTTACTTAACTTTATAATTGGTATTCGTTGTATAAGGATATTTTTTATTTTTATGTTTTTTTTTGCTTTTTGGGCATAATAGGAGCTCGCTCCTCTGCCTTTATTTCTGATATAATAATAATAATAATAATAGTAATAAGGCTATTCCAACTAAAAATTACCTAAAATATATTGTTAAATATCCTCAAGTCCAAAATGACAAATGCCGATATGGATGCCAAGCCCAAGAAACCATCCAACATCTTACCGTTGGCTGGCAGGCATTTGTCGGTACTGATTGTCAACCAAGAATTAGCTGACAAACTGGGAATTCTCCAAATCGATCATCTTCCTTATTATCAATGCGTTCCTGACAGAATGCTTGAAATTGAAAACTACAAGCTATACTGGGACTGACAGTGCTTACAGACCAACCAGTGGCGCATAATAGACCGGATCTCATACTAGTTAATAATCTTAGTAGGCAAACAACTTATTTTGATGTTGCGATACCCAACACCAATAATTTACGTGTTAAATACAACGATAAGATCGCCAAGTACAGAGATCTAGAAATACAAATCAGGACACAATGGAGAATGGAAAGTACCCAGACAGTACCTATTATTCTATCTACCACTGGTGTTATTCCCAAAAACATCCTCGAGAACATAAAACAGCTGGGTCTCAATGAACATCACTATTAAGCCATGCAGAAAGCTGTACTCCTCGTGACGTAAAGATGTGTACGAAACTTTTTGGGAGATACTCCAACATACCAAGTCACCTAGGACTCGATAATACGGAAAGAGTACCACCAGAGCTCAATCCTTTTGATACCGTAGGTATCTGGGATGAGTGAATTTTCCCCTTAGAGGGATTGTGAGCCGTATGGCTAAATCTGGAAATAATAATAACAAAATATTAAGTTTTTGAAAAAACTCTAAAGAACATTTTTGCCTTAAACTTTACTATTTTAGCGACTGTTATGTTTATTTTTAAAAAACTTTTTCCACCCCCGAGTTTAGGAAGACCACCCCCAGAGAACAGAGCACATATTGCCATAGGGTAGATTTTGATCTTTGAGCTATTTTCTACCTGTCAAAATTTCAAGCAAATCAATGCATATAAAAAAAATTCAGTGTTTTTCTACTATTTTAACAGTCGTATCGTGGACTATATACAAATATAATAATCTAAAGCACTGAATTCCTTACCTGATAATTTACTGTAGAGTTTAATATTAAAACAGCAACTGCTGTGTTTTGATATTCAGCCACTATAATATGTCTTCCCAAGAGCTTTCCACTTTTTAAAATTTCTGCAATGTAGTATCTACCATATAACTCTGTTAATTTTTTAGAATGTGTTTCAATAAGTGGCACTAGGTCGTCGTTATCTTCTTCAACAGCTTTTCTTATTTTGTATTGTATTTGAAAATCTTTTCGACAAAACATATAAAGATATTGTCCTTTAACTTTTATTACAACTACGAAAAATAGAAATTGTGTATTAAAATATATTAGTGAATAGTGGTTTTTTAATGTTTAAAATTTTCACTGAAATTCAGCTGAAATTATTAGTTTATTTTTTCTACCACTTAAGACCAAGAGCAATCAGCACGCTTATTCGAATGGAAATATCACTGTATGAGAAGAAAGAAATATCTTGAAGCTAAAGTCGAATGCTGTTTGTTCGAAACCGTGTATTTTCTTCTTCTTAAAATTGGATCTCCTTAATCTAGAAATAAGTACTTAACCCTGCTGTCCTGTTCGGGTCTATTTGACCTAAAAAAATTTATTTCTTATTTTACTAATTATTACGTGGTGTAACGTTTTGGTGTTTCGTGACTTTATTACCTAATATGAGGTCTTTTAATTGCATATGAGATAGAAATCAACTTCCTGATTTTTTTTATAAAAATTAAATTGTTACCTATAGTACGTTCGGGTCAGTATGACCCACGTATTTAAACCGTTAAAAATTACCTGTGTACGTATCTTTAGTTGGCAGAATTTTATATATTTTCTAACAGTTTGTCAGTCAGGTACGTCTATAAAGAAACAAGTTTCTGAAAGCTAGAACTTGTAAAAAATGTGTAGTGTAGCTGGACGATGTCATTTAGAAGGCATGTCACGTAGAAGGAACTGGGGGTGATAGACAAGTGGTAGGCTGGTAGGATACTGGTATGCCAAGCGCATTCATTTACATTTTACATTTCAGTCTATGTTTACATGCTGATAATGTCGCATCACGTAACGCTAACCGAAAATGAGCTTCGCGAGCTTGCGAACGTGTCCGAGAGTGATAAGTGCATATCAGAAAGAGAAAACAATACAAGTAGTGAAAGTGAGGAAGAAAGTAGTGATGATTATAGTTTATTCGTCTTCCGGGTTTGGACCGTGTCATTTGTGAGTGACCCAAAAGTGGGTTCATCTCGACGTTTCGCTACAATTGTATGTTTCACGTCCAACAGCTCAGAACACTAACGCGTCGAGAGGCGGGGAGTGAATCCGACGATTCAAGCAAGCAATTTGATTGAAACCAGCCTATGAGAAATGTTCACCCAGGTAGTAGGATCGGGTGTAACAATTCATTGAAGCAAGGTGTTTTAACTCGAGTTTAAAAACAGGAGTCACCCCACCGTGCTCCAATGCTCTAGACCATCCCTTTCCCCCCTGTAGCAATCTGATTCACTATAGAGGCACAACTGACTCTGGCCGTGGAAGCCTACGGTTTTCAAAGTAGTGATGATTCAGCTGTTCTATTCTACGTAGAACATCCAGTAGAACCGTCTGTAATAGTTCCTTTAAAAGACGGTAATATCCAGTGGTCTCTCGATCTTCCTTATTAATGCGGTCGTTTTTTCACGGCCAATGATATAAGTAATGCTTCAGAAGTTACAAGGTACTCATGTGCACGAATTTTCGATATCAAAAATTCATTTGACGCACTATTTTCTGATATAGTTGCAAACCAAATTATAAATATGAGCAACGTGGAAGGACATCGTGTTTTTGGAACCAACTGGAAAGACTTAGATAAAATTGGTTTTTAAGCATACATTGGTCTTTTATTGTTAGCTGGAGTTTTAAGTCTCATGGCAAATAAACTAAAAGTTTGTGCAATGAAGAAACAGACCGTAGTGTATTTCAAGCAACAATGTCCCTGGAAGTATTTACAAAAATTCCCAAATAATACGTTTTGACAACAAGACTACTAGACAGGATAGAAGACGCACTGATAAACTTGCTGCAATACGTGAAATTTGGGAAAAATGGGTAGAAAATCTACCAAAATTTTTTAACCCTGATGAAAATGTTACCGTCGACGAGCAATTAGTTGTCTTTAGAGACCGCTGTCCTTTCAAACAATATATTCCAAGCAAACCAGCGAAATATGGCATAAACATTTGGGCTTTATGTGATAGTAAAAGTTTGTACTCTCTAAAATTGTAGATCTATATAGGAAAGGAAACAGGTGCCGCTCCGGAACTGAATCAGGGAATGCGTGTGGTGTGCAACTTGTGTAGTGATCTGAAAGGCCACAATATTACGTGTGATAACTTTTTTACATCATATAATTTCAGACAACTTTTTCTAAAAAGAAACAATACAATGCTGGGGACTATAAGAAAAAATAAGCCAGAGCTTCCAGCACAAATTGCGAATAAAGAAGTTTATAGTTCGTTTTATTTTTACTTCACGCAAGCTACCACTGTTATTAACTATATTCTTAAAAAGAATAAAAATATTATTCTTATGAGTACTTTGCATCATGATAAGGCTATTAGTTACAGCAATGACAAAAGACGAAAAGCCATAAATTATTTTAGATTACAATTCCAGTAAGGGAGCAGTGGATACTCTAGATCAGCTTGTCGGTACATATACTTGTAAAAGGAAGACAAATCACTGGCCTATGATTGTTTTTTATAATAGGCTGAACATTTCTGCCTACAACGTGTTCGTTTTATGGACATCAATAAATCCCCAATGGAACATTAACAAACTTACAAAACGGCGAATTTTTCTTGAGTAATTGGAAAAACACTGGTGAAACCACTTATCCCATCCTGGAAAAAAATTTACCAAGAACTAAACACTTACAAGAACTGGTAAAAAGAACACGAACAGAAGCGAGTAGAGAAGATAGAAATTCTAGTGAACCTTCTATGGACACTCCAACTGCTGTTAAACGAGCACCCTGTAAATTTTGCTCTAAAAACGATAACAAGAATAATATTTTGTGTTGTATATGTCACAAACAAATTTGCAAAATCCATTCTTTTTATTACTGTCTCAGTTGTAAACTAAATTAAATTTTGTAGGTATTTGTTCTTGTGGCTTTTCTGGGAAAAAAATGCCTTTTATTTATTTTTTTTTTATTTAAACGCAAAACCACATCAACCGCGCAGGGTTATTAGTGGCTGTAACAAATACATGAAATATTACATTAAATACAATTGAATGATACATTAAGTACAATTGAATATTACATTAAATACAATTGAATAAATTGATGTCTTTTAAATAGCTTAACACTGTTGAAATTTTTTTGGTGAGAACTGTCTTGAGATCATCATCTGTGAATCCATGGGATCTTCTTTTTTCCATGAATTGAGGACAATCAAGCAAGATATGTTTGACAGTCAGTGGGTTAGAGCAGCTGCAGCAGATAGGTAGTGGTTCTTTTGTTATTAAGTATTTGTGTGTTAAGGCAGTATGGCCAATTCTTAGACGATTAATAATGACTTGGTTTCTTCTGTTTAAAGGAGTCTCTAGAACATCAGTTATTTTTGGGCAAATTACATTTAGTTTAGTACCTAATTTTTCCCAATAATTTTGCCAAGTATTAATACAATGGATTTTAACCAGGTTTTTTAGATCGGTGTACGAATATGTCTTCAATTGTGCAATATGGTTTGAGTTCATTCGACTTTTGTTAGCCAGTTGATCTGCTTTTTCATTTCCGTAGATACCTATATGTGATGGTATCCAAATAAAAGCCGCTTCCTTTCCTAATGATGAAAATTTTTCTAGTACGTTTTTTATACTCTGTATAATAGGGTTGTTGGTATATATTTGTTTCAGTTTCAGTAATGCATTTAATGAGTCTGTTACGATAATGCACTTCATCGTTCTACTCTTTTCGAAGAAGATTAGGGCTTCCAAAATAGCTGTAACTTCACCTGTTAGTATACTGCAGTTGGTTGGTATCGATATGCTTTAAGAATTTTCTTTACAGTAGTAGGCAGCAGCGTGACCATTGGGAGTTCTAGAGGCATCGGTAAAGATTTGCAAATAATTAGGATAGTGGTCTAGAATTTTCATGAATAGAGATTTAATTACTGTGGAATTTGTAGTAGATTTGGGATACTTGGTAAGTGTTACATCAATAGTTAATGGGTGGCTTGTCCATGGGTGATAGTTTGCGTTTATATGTAGTGTTGCATTGAAATGATTCCTATCAAAAGTTGTAAGGTTTATTCTTTCTATGAGGGGTGTAGAGTTTTTAGTCTTATTGTTAGGAGGAAGGCCAGGGTTGCAGATATGGAAAAATACAGGATGCTGTTTCTGGGATGATATCTTTGCAATGTAGTTCAAGGATAGTTGCTGTCGTCTTATATGTAAGGGAGGTTCTCCAGTTAGAACTTGCATGCTACTAACTGGACTAGTTTTAAAAGCTCCCAGTGCTAACCTCAAAGCTGTAGTTTGAATACTGTTTAGTTTTTTTAGAGTGGTTTTACATGCAGCATCATAACATATACAACCATAGTCAATTTTAGTTCTAATGAGCGATTTGTAAAGCCTAATTAATATTTTATGATCAGCACCCCAAATTCTGTTGGATAATATTTTGAGTATATTTAATCGTTTTGGCAGGAAAGCTGTAGTTTATTTATGTGTGAATTCCAATTTAAAGTTCTCTCAAAAATTAGACCTAGAAAGTTTATTTCTTTTGACTGTTCTAAAGGTAAATTATTTAATGTAAGACTAGTTGTAAGGTGGGTTTTATTTTTATTAAAAATATTGTATCGTGTTTTTTCAGTAGAAAAAACAAATCCCGTTTTAATCGTCCAATTACAAAGCCGATTTAGGAAACTCTGTATAATATTAGTTGCTGTCATTATATTATTCGATTTAGTATAAATAACAATGTCATCTGCGTAAAGACTAGCTTTAATGGGCGCTTTAATTACATCAACAATACTATTAAAAGCGATTAAGAATAAAGTTGGACTAAGAATCGAACCTTGAGGAATTCCATTATCTAGTATCTTAGATGAGCTTGTAACACCATTTATTCTAACTTGAATCGAGCGATTTTTTAAAAAAATTTTTATAAATGCAAGTATGTTACCTTGAATGCCAGTATCTTTCAATGTTTGTAGAATACAGTGTCTCCATGCTCTATCGTATGCTTGGGTTATATCGAAAAATATTGCTATTAGTTTTTGGTTATTTGCAAAAGCTTCATTAATTGAAG